CCTCCAGAGCTGGGTTCTGCAGGCTGGGAATATGGAGCTGGCAGAAGTGATGGTGGTACTCTCTCTGGAGCTTTGAGAACTAACAGCTTGTGGTCAGCTGGTTGGAAGATGGTGACCTGATTGAAAGTAGCGGCAGGAGGATGGAGCGAAGTCCATGGATTTGAGAGACACATGACCTGTAAACACCCAGATCCTGGTGGTTGACTGGGGTGTGCTGGAGGGGGAAGAGGAGTCAGGTAAGCTGCTCAGACTCCTGGCTTTGGTGACTGGGTAGAGATGGCAGGTGAGAAGCAAGGGAGAGGAGCAGGTTTCGGGGTGGGGGTTGGTGTTGGGGAACAGTGTTGGCAGGCAGTTTGAGGTCCTGAGACACCTCAGCAGAGCTGTGTTCCAGGCATGAGGTCTGGTAGAAACTTAGGCGTCATGAACATACTGATCCCCGTTTTGGTGTCAGCTGGATGAGCTTGCCCAGGGAGCAGTGGAATGAGTGTCAGGGGCCAAGGGACAGGGCTGGGGGTGGTGGTGGGGGGGATGGGCAGCATTTCCTTCCTCCCTACCCCCTCTTCTCCTGCCCAGTCCTCACTGGTGTGGGGTGGTGGAAGCACCCGCTCCTGGCATGTCCGTCGCACTCAGTGCCGTCATGGGTGTTGGGACGGAGCCTGGCTCCTGAGGGGCCAAGTCAGTATTTGTGGGAAGAATGGGAAGACCTGCCTGGTGTCTGGGATCATCTTAGTTTTTAAACTTGGTCATTCTTTTCAAACATACATCAAAGTACAAGTATTGTGACATCCTACGGTAGGTCACTTTAGTTCTGTTGTGGAATATATGTATTCTAGTGCCTGTCACCCAGCTTCAAATTATCCATAGTTTGTCATTCTTAATTTCTGTATTGAGCTTCCCAATTTTTTCCTGAAATAATTTAAAGCATATTTCCTGTATTTTATCTGCAATAAGTATATTTCTCTAATAACTGAGCTACAAATATTTGGTGCCTGGTAGGTAAGTCTTGCCTTGAGGTCTGTGCTGTGCACTTTTGGATGTGTAACCCCATTCCCGGCCTCCACCCAGTAGATGGGGGCTCCTCCTGCACGGTAACACTACATCCCCTCCTTTGGACAGCCAAAAACATCTCCAGACATGGTAAAATGTTGCTTGGGGACACATTTGTGCTGGTTGAGAACTACTGCTCTAAACTTTTAACAGATAATTTCTAAACAATCGTAATGAAACTGCAGTACCATTATTACATTAACAAAATTACCCTTAGGATTAACTTAAATTTGTGTTCAGATTTCCCTGTCCCACATGTCTTTTTATACTTGGTTTTAAGTATCCAAAAAAGGATTCTTGCAATTTTATTTAGAACTTTCTTAGACCTTAACAGTTGCACGTACTGCTTTTTTTTTTTTTTTTTGCATTACTTTTTGGATTTTTTTTTTTTTTTTTTGCAAGCCATTTTGTTGAAGCAATGGTATCTGTCTTAAAGAATTCCCATGTTGTGAATTCGGTTGGTATTATCCCCCCCCCCCCCATAAACTGGTGGTTCAAACAAGAGAAACTTGTCTAGATCAGGGTTTGTTTTATTTTGTTTTGGTTTTTTTTTGAGTCATTCCGGGTTTGAATCCTAATTTCTTTTATCTGTCTTCTGGGGAGAACATGGCCCTTGGGGAATGCCCAGCAGGGTGTGTGGTACAGGGGAGACCACTGAACACAGATGCTTCTCTTTCCTTGGGGAGCTTGCTGCTGTCCCATGTGGCTCTTGGCTCCACTCACTCTCCCATGCCTCCACATGGCTCTGCTCTGTGCACTCTTGTTCTTTGATCCTGGGGTTCTGGAGGACATTTGGGTAAATGCTCCCGACCTGCAGCAAGGCCCTCTCCCTCCCTCCCTCCTCCTGCAGATTTCTGGGTTTTGGGCAGATGCTGGCTGGTGGCTGTGGCTGAGCCAGTTTATTCTCTGAGGCTGAGGCCACCTTGCCTTCACAACCTGTCTCTTACTCCTGCAGATCTTCGTGGAGTTCACCTCTGTGTTTGACTGCCAGAAAGCCATGCAGGGCCTGACGGGTCGCAAGTTCGCCAACAGAGTGGTTGTCACAAAATACTGTGACCCCGACTCTTACCACCGCCGGGACTTCTGGTAGAGGTGGAGGGGGAGAGTGGGGGCAGGGCTGGCTGGGGGCTTCTCCCCCTCCCGCCCCCCCCCTTTTCCCCCTCTGAAGAAGATGGGCAGAGGAGTGACAGCCGAATGACAGCCGGCAGCAACTGGAATGGCAGCAATTGGGGTGGGGTGGGGGTTGGGGTGGGGAGGGCAATGGGGAAGTGCGCGCACAGGCCCACACAGACACATGCACCCACAGACACAGAGGGAAGGGGTCGGGGTGGGGAGGGGGTGCACAGCAGGGCGGGGTAGGACCCCCATAGCCCCTCCCCAGGACAGCCTCGCCTCTCCTTCCTTCTACCCTCCCCCTCCCTTTCCCCACCGTAGAAACATAGTGTGTTTATATTTTATGGCCAAACTATTTTGAATTTTGTTGTCCGCCCCGGTGCCCTGCCTTCTCCCTTTCCAGGACCACAGCTCCCGTCCTCCTGGCCTCTGGTCCTCCCCCCGGTGCCCTCCCCGGTTTCTTACGTAGTTGACTCTCCTCTTTAGTCTCCCTGACCTGCGCCCCAGCTCCGTGGCCCCGTCCCTCTCCTCTCTGTGGCAGTTTCATATTTGCTAAGACGAATTTGCTCATTAAACATTTTGTTGTATTTTACTTTACGGAGCTGCTCTGTGTCCGGTGTGTGTAAGCCCCGCCCCCACTCCGGTCCCCCGTGGCCCCGCCGCCTCTGACCTCTGGCCCGGACGCCCTTGCCCGCCCTCCGGGGCACACCCCGCCAGCGTGGCCGTCTGCTCGGCTCGGGTGGGGGCGTGGCTGCGCGGAGGCCGCCGCGCCGGACGGGCCCGCACAGAGAGGGGAGGGGACGGGCGGCCGTTCCCCCCACCCCGGGAGGACGGGGAACCCTGAGCGCCGCTCGGGCTGGCGACCACGCGGGCTCTTCCCCGCCTCACTCGGCCGCGCTTGCCGGCCCGCCCGTCTGAGGCTTGCGCTTCGCCGCGCTTGTCCGTCAGGACCTCACGGCGGCGCCGGGCCGTCTTGCCCGCGCGCCGGAAATGACGCTGCAGGGCGGGCGGGCGGGCGGGGCTGCGGAAGCGGCGACTACGCAGGCTCCCTGCGGGAGGGTCGCCGGGTGCGGCGCGGAAGGCGGGGCGCGCCACCACTTCCGCTTCCGGTCCGTCGCCTCCTTCGGGTGCTTCCCGTCTGCTCGGCGGCTCCCCTCCCCCGCCGGGCTCTCTGCGCCCCTCCCGGGCGCCGGGGCGGCGGGGCCGTC